GCGATTGTTAGTTCGAGAATAGTGAGAGAAATCAAGAAACCTTATGAAAGATTTTCCTTTTAGGGGTTTATCAACGGAGATATTAGCAGATGACTGGTCAAGCTTGGAGGCAAAGAGTCCTTCAGTTCCTCCATGGAAGAAGAAGGCGTTGGACTTTGGAATGAAGTGCTCCTTTCTGTACTCGTGAATTGAAGCTGAGGCAACTCTTATTGAAGCATACACATAGATTAGTAGCACTGCGAATCTGACAGAAAACGGAAAGCTTCTTTCTTCCATCACTCTCCAGCTCTCTATGGCTTCGGCAGGGAGAAAGAAGAGCGAAATTCTCCGGCGAAGTGTCACTCTAGACTATGGTGGACGGAAACCACGAAGGAGTGGGACGTTGGAACGAATGAGAACGGTGTCGTTTCAATTTCACGCTGCCATCCTGATTGCTTTCATTCAGTCTTGGCTCTTGGGGCTCGTTTGGACATTTTGTACTGTACCCTGACCAAGAACTGAGGTTATTTTTAGAGAAAATATGATAACTGTTGTGAAATTAAGAAGGTAAATTATAGATATGGAATAGATATATGAATAATAAGATTTGGACATTATCTTCTTGATATGAAATTTCTATTTCTCTGATTTGGCTTACGAATGATTGATCAAATCCTATTTATATTAGTTGAACTTTGTGATGAATCATCGAAGAATGATTCTACTCATGTTGCTGACAGTATTAAACATAGTATTCATGTATGATTACAATGATGGAAAGAAGCTTAGTGTCATAATTACAAGGATTGGGACTAATTTAATGTTCTGATGACAAGAATGAACAATTCACACTTCTTATTTCTTGGATGTTATGACAATAAACTTTTTGCATAATTACCCCTAACTATTTTGATAAATTCCCTTTTTTATTTTTATTCTTCACACCATCACATTTCTTCAATTTACTATCCATCCTTAGGTGCTCAAATCGATATGGTTTTAATTTTGAAATCATTTTTTGTCAAGAAAACAATCAAAATGGTACACTTCACACATGTAAATTTATATTTGTCAAATTTCATCTTAAACAAACACATGTATGTAAAGAAATATGGTGCGGTAGACATCTCATAAATGTGAGCAAATCACACAAAGACAAGCTGTACAAACCATGAAAAATACCAAAAGGAACCAAATACTAATGGCTCTTTAATTTAACCACAGGTCCACAACCATGACCAATTGGTCTGAACGTACATAGAGCTCGTTTGGTAGTACCAAAATCGGCTGTTTTGGCTGATTCTGCTTAAATTGATGAAGTTCTGGCTGAAGTGGCTGTTTTGGCTTATTCTGCTGATTCAAGAAAAAAATATCTTAAAAATATATTTTATTAATAAAATAAAGAAAAAATTATATGTAAAAATAGCTAAAATGGTTATCTACATTAACTTCAGCCAATACAGCCAGAAAAGTAACTCCAACCTTACTTTTTCTACTTATTACATAATCCAGCGCGCGAAAGTAAAAATTACGTGTTTGGTGAAAAAGTTGGCTGATAAGCCCGATAAGCCGAAAAAGAGGTCTCCAAACGGGCTCATAGTTTGCAATTGAAGTTTCTCCACATCAACTTCGGGGGTGTTTGGATCTGATTCTCAAAACTGATTCTGCTCCTTCAGGGAGCAGAAGCAGAAGCTGGAGTGTTTGGGTGAAATTTCAGAAGCACTTCTGGAGCTCTAATTTACTCTCAGAATCAGTTTTTTTAGAAGCTGGGGTGTACCAGCTTCTGAAAACTGATTCTGATTCTGCTTCTGCTTTTTAAAAAGAAGCAGAAGCAGAATCAGTTCCAAATACCCCTTCTTTGTCTAAGATCTAACCTGATAAATATGAATTCATTATCTATGTGAAATTGAAATCATGTTCGAAAGTTGTACAACAATCATTTTTGAATTTAAATACATACGGAGTACTTTTATTTGATTTTATAAAAGTATCATGTCATAATTTAATGGAGTGTTACCAAGGTGAAATGATAGGGTCAGCTATCATAAGAGTAAAATATGATAGCTAAATGAGAGTAAAATACAGACGAAATGTATAAGTAAGAGTAATGTATAAATAGGAGTAGATATATTTCAAATTAAACTAAGATTTATTTGATTATATTAAAATTATAAAGCTTCTCCAATTAGGGTAAACTAATCATATTGTGCACTTTATATATGAGAAGGTTGGTAACCATGTTTTTTGGGTTATCAGCTTATTAGTCAGCTTTTTCATTAAACACATAAATTTTTATTTCGTGCACGAGATTGTGTAATAATAAGAAAATATAAGATTGAAGTTACTTTTCTTGCTGTATTGGCTGAAGTTACTTTTCTTGCTGTATTGGCTGAAGTTACTTTAGAGGATCATTTTAACTATTTTTCATATAATTTTTCTTTATTTTATTGGTAAAAGATATTTTAAATATACTCTGTTAAAAATCAGCAGACAGCTAATACAGTTACTTGAGCCAAAACTTCATAAATTTAAGCGAAATCAACTGATACAGCCCATTTAGGTATTTAATCAGCAATGGCCAGCCGTTTTCTGATCCCACGCTTTATCGCTCCATTGTAGGAGCGCTACAATATCTAACCATCACTCGTACTGACCTCGCATTTGCAGTGAATTCTGTCAGCCAATTCTTGCATTCACCTACAGAGGAGCATTTTTTTGCTGTTAAGAGAATATACTTTGGTATGTCAAAGGTACTATCCACTATGGTCTATCACTCTCCACAATCCATTACTGCATATTCTGATGCTGACTGGGCACATTGTGTTGAAACACGACGTTCCAGCTTTGGTTATTCTGTATTTCTTGGTGAAAATCTTGTCTCTTGGAGTGCAAAGAAGCAATCGACTATTTCTCGTTCTAGTTGTGAATCCGAGTATCGGGCTCTTGCAAATACCACTTTTGAAGTCATGTGGCTGGTTCATTTACTTCGAGAGCTCCGCATACCTACTTCATCTCCACCTGTCATTTTATGTGACAACAAGAGTGCTATCTTCTTAACTCAAAATCCGATAGCCCACAAGCATGCCAAACATATTGACATTGACTATCACTTTGTCTGAGAATTGATCTTAGCAGGATGACTCTCTACCCAGTTCGTTCCCTCACACTTACAGCTTGCGGACATTTTTATCAAAAGTCTTCCTCGACCAGCATTTGAGTTTCTCCGATCCAAACTTTGCGTGTGTTTAAACCCCACACATCGCTTGACGGGGTAATAGTGTTACTTAATTAAAATTGTACTTAAACTAGTATTCTCTAGAATTCTCTTGTAATTAATCGGTATCTTGTAAATCATTATTATATATAGTGGATTAATTCTCCTCAAACGTTATAGAGGAAACACAAATATTTACTCTATCACTTTTCTAGATCAGTGATTTAATGGCTCCTATAATTGCATGTAGTGATATAATGTTATCTTTGTGGATCACTAGTGAGTAGTGACGACGTGACGTTTTCTTCAATATCCGATCTAATGGTTCACTACAAAAAATCTTCTTTATTATGACACAAATTTTATCGGACGCTTATTTGACTTCAATTTGACACAGGAAAATACGGTACCAACGTTTTAGCACGACATGTCCGAGAGAAAATCCCACCCGTTATTGAGTACATTTAAAGTAATTATGAATTTCATAATTATATGAATTGCTTAAAGTACAAAAAAACAAATGAATTCCTTCCCGAAATTGACTACAACTTTTAGATCAGTGCCTTCGGTGGAAGTATATTTTCGTCCAGATATATAGCTAAACTTTAATGCCAAACACCAGAAAATCTGGAGAACATTTCATGTGTAACTAGTTGCGCCTAAACCTTTGATTTTCCTAATAGTTAGGAATGTACCTTCTAGTTGATATTTTTCTCTTTACTTATTTGTTTTATACTTTTAAAGAAGCTTTTTTATTCATACCAATTTCGAAAATGTGTTTTAGAAGCAAAATGAATGTATTATCAAGAAAGAAAATAAGTTGATTTTGTCACTCTTTAAGAAAGAAAATAAGTTGATTTCGTCACTCTTTACGAAATGGGTCGTCAAACTAGTCAAGAGAGTTATGATCGAACCTATACGAGTTCTAAACCTATACCTATGAAGCTACGATATTGCTAGATTTACGAAATGAGGTTCCACCACAATCTCAAGTCCCTAAAATCTAAATTGTCTCAAATTTAGAGTTATGTCCATTTTTTCTCATTGATTTATGATCTTGTTTTTCCGTTTATCAACTCGTTTTTTTATCAAACACGTAATTTTTTATTTCGTGCGCTGAATTGTGTAATACTTCGTACTATGTAATAAGAAAAAGCAAAGTTGGAGACACTTTTCTTGTTGTATGGGCTAAAGTTACAATAGATGATCATTTTAGATAGTTTTTTCATACTCCTTCCGTATTTAAAGTTCCCTAAACTTTCCTTTTTTGGATGTATTTAAAAGTTCTCTGCACTTCCATTTTTGATAAGTTTACCCTTTATAAAATACTCAATTACCTTTATTTTATCTATTTTTTATCTTCTCTTTCGTACTTTTGAACACTCTCTCATACTTTTTTTACACTATTCACTACCCCTACTATTCTATCCTAAGATATTGTGCCCAAAGCTAGTGTAGTGAACATTTAAATACAGAGGGAATATAATTTTTTTATTATTTTATTAATAAAATATATTTTAAATGTATCTTATTTCATAAATTAATTTAGAATCGACCAATAGAATCACTTCAATTTTAACCTTTCACCCGTCCTACAAATTAATTTGTACATTATTGCTTATGGTCGAATCAGATCAATAAAAAGGGATAAGTCAATTATCAATTGAAAGTAGGATGGAGAGGATCAACCTATTGGATCTTAGCTTGCTGGAGTATATTTTTATGGTCACGATGAGTCATGACGCAACTTCTTATATGAATCGATGATGGGATGACAATGAAATCCACCAGCTAACCAAGAAAAGGAAAAGCATTACATTTTTATATAGACACCGTATCATAGTGCCCCCCAATAAATTAAATCAAAGTGCCCTAAGATATTTAGCATGAAAAAATGGCATCATCATACGTCTTCACGGTGGTGTTATTGGACAGCATATTGGTTCCGGTGAGCCTCTTCCTCACCGTCGGCTACCATGTCTATCTCTTCCGCCGCCTCAAGCACAATCCCGCCGCCACTTCCGCCGGCATCAACATGCTTCAGCGCAGATCCTGGCTTCAGCATTACGATCAGGCGTGTCTTTCAATTCGATCATTTATGTGTATATGTGTACCATTCCCATCATTGCATACCATTTTAGTTTACTTACTCGTGGCTATTTTGATAATATTCTTTCTTCATAAATATTTCTACTCCTGGATCAATTAAAATAAGAAAATTGTCCTAAATGGGAATAAATGAGGTTTGAAAATCCAAAATTGGACCACTATATTTTTATTTTCGAAATAGGAATTGTTAGTGTCATGTATGAAAAATATTGTCATGATTAAAAAATAGTGTCATTAATAATTGGCCCTCAAAAGTGTCATTATTCTTGGAATTATACTCGTCCTATCATACCATTTACCTTGTCATACTTTAATAGGTTCTTTTAATTAATAATAATAATACATTAAAAAAGAAAAAATTAAAAATGAAAATGTAAAAAAAAATATACACGTCTCAGCCACCTTCCGGCACCAGCACCTCCGAGCATCAGGAAAAAATGTCAACTTACAAAAAATTAGTCAACCACAAGGCAATTTGCAAATAAATTTTGATATTTTCAAAGAGTAAAAATGACATATTCATGACATTTGTAGAGAAATGTAGCATCTTTTAATACAAGATCATAGTTTCTCTTAACGATCCGTGGTGGCGGTGTTAGGAGATTGAAGATGTAGGGCAGACGCGTACATACTCCCTCTGTCCTATTGGACTTTGCCAATTTTCCTTTTTTGGTTGTCCCAAAAAACTTTGTCACTTTCCTATTAAAGCAACTAATTTGTGGTTCTGCACATTTCTCTCTCCTCTGCACAAATCTCAATCACACTGTTTTTACTATTCTTATTACTCACCTACGTTGCACTTGGCAAAGTCCACCGAGACGAAGGTAGTATTTTTTAGGTATTTTTAAATATTTTATTTTTATTTACTTTTGTTTCATTTTTGTTTATTTGATTTTATTTATTCATTATCTTTTATTTTGAATTTACAAATAATTTTATTCTTCTTTGTTTTTATTATAAGTAAAACTGTGATTTTTTTATTAATAAAAAATGTTTTATTGAGGATTATAGGAAGAGGGAACATATATTGCTCCTATTTTGAGAATAAAAACCTTATAGTCCTATTATTACATTTTGGAATAATGTCACTTTTGGAATAATGTCACTCCTATTTAGGGCTAATAATTGTATTTTCTTCTTAAAACGTGACTTCCTGAAAAGTTTCTATAATTTTCTTCTTTATATTGGATTTTAAAAAGCATATTTTGTAGAATCAGAATTAAATATACTTGATTTTTTTTTAGCTTTGTCCGTCACTTACTACAGAGTATTATATACTCTTTCAACTCTTTTACTGTTTTAGAAATTTATTTAATCTTATTTATATATTATCGGTTCTAGCTAAGATTAATTAATTTTTATACATTCCCAATTACTCTGTATTGTTTAAGAAAGCAAGTTAACATTAATATATAGCTAGTTAAATGTCTACCCAAATACCCAAATTACAACATTAATATATAGGCTTGAATTTGTTTGACACTATGAGCGTCAGAGTGTGTAGTTGGAGGCTAATGTCTGGATTAAAAGTTATCAATTGAATTAGAGATTATTGTCTGGACTAAATGTTGAAGTGTGAATCTGAACTCCTAGTTGAATGAACTAGATTTCTTTGACAAAAAGAGTTGAAAGAGTATATAGTCTATTAATATACTAAGTATTTATTATAATAATTTTATAATTCCATAAGTAATAATCTTTTAGTATATACTCGTCTTTTATACATATATACAAATATAAATATATGTATGTGTGAGTACATAATTACATATACATATATACAAATGATATATTTCTTAGTTTATACATCGATCTTCTGATTCTTAATTAAGTTCCCCATTTGATTTCACGAGTTTAAAGATAAAAAATATTTTGCTTTTAACTTTTCTAAAATTCCATTTACTGTAGCCATTTTACCCATATTGCACATGGGAAAAATCTGGACCATTACTATTAAGAGGGGGGGGGGAGTCAATGTCATTTACACCCACAACAGGCAAACGTACAAGTCATTGTTATTTACATCCACAAAGGGCAAAAGAAAACTTTCATATTTCCCCCGAAATTTGTACCCCCCCCCCCTCCAGATTACATTTAAAGTCTCATACAGTCATACCACTATAAATCCACTTTCAATACACCCCAACTACCTCTGATCTACTTTTACAATATTCTTCTACTTCTACTTCAAAAGTCTTCTTTCCAGAAACGGACAGTGAAGAGGCAGCTTATTCTCTGCATCAGTGTGGTCCTTTGGACCTGAATGTGGAACCCGTATCAGAAGAAGACACAATGCTTGTGCTAGAAGAAGACATCCACCTAACAGTTATTGTACCAACATAACTACACATACACACAGTAGAGGCACACATTGAAGGACAAGGCAGTGAACCATTGACTAAAAATGGCCTAAGTTGTCCCCACAAAACAAAAGTCAAATTGACTGTTGCCCCATGCTTGTGAAGGTAAACTTTAGAGGGGCATTATGAGTCGGTTAGCCAATGATTTTCACATACCTACGCGGACAGTCCAAAAATTGTGGCAAAAAGTAAAGAAGCAAATGAACAATGGAGAGACCATCAATGTGCAGTGTAGGCGAAAAGGAAATGTAGTGCCAAAAAGAGTAAGCTTTGATATGTAGCAAATTGCAGAAATTCCTTTACACTAGAGAAAAAATATGAGAGCATTGGCATTTGCAATGAAGGTTTCAAAGTCAACTGCGCAAAGATGGTTTAAAAGTAACAACATAAGAAGGCACTCAACTACAATCAAGCCACTGTTAAAATAAGCTGGGAAAATGAAGATTTTAGAGTTATGTTTAAGTCATATAAAGCCCGAGATAGTCCACTTTGCTCCCAACATTTCATGATTTTATGATTATGAAAAATGGTTCTGCTTGTCAAAAAGAGACCACCACTTTTTATACTCTTCCCACAGAGCCTGATCCATATAGAACTGCTCTGTTAGAGAAGTTTATTCCTAAAATAATGTTCATTGCTTCTATTGGGAGGCCCAGAGTAGCGAGCAATAGGGATGTATTGTGGGATGGGGGAGATAGGCATTTTCCCATTCACATATGAAGATACAATAAAGATATCAAGCAGGAACAAGGCTGCTGGAACCTTAGAAAATAAGGCCGCTTTAAGCATTAATAAGCCACTTCTAAAGGAAATAATTTTGAACTACATATTGCCAACAATCACAAGGGGCCAGAATCAGTAAATAAGTAAGTTATCATACAACAAGACAATATTAGACCTCATATTGATGTTAAGGACCCAAAATTTGAGAAATCAGGAATAAAAGATGGTCGTAACATCCAACTTAGTTATCAACCACCTAACAATCCAAATTTAAATGTATTGGACTTGGTGTTTTTCAGGGCAATTGATTGCATCAAGGATCAAAAGGCTCCAAAAACATAATGGACCTAATACATGCAGTGCAAACATCTTTTGATGAGCTCACACCACAGACATTATATTAAACATGATTTTTATGAGTTATCAATATGTCATGGAAGAAATCATAAAACATAGTGGGGGCAACAATTTAAAGCTCAAGCATGTTGGGAAGGACAAATTGGACTAACAAGGTATGTTACCTCAAGATGTCTAAATCCGTCCAGAGTTGTACCTGACAGCTAAGGCGGTATTAGAAGGACAAATGGCAATAAAAACATTTCAAGGGAATCAGTTCATACATGAATATTAAGAGGATCTTCTAGTCTAAACTGTTTACACTTTTGGACCGAGCATGACATAATAAGTCAAGTTCAGCTATTGGTATATTTTGACAATTTTTGTTAGTACACTAGATGTAGATGAACTCGCTGGTATACTTGTTTTTGTTTGTACTTCTACACCCACGAGAGTAGTATTTTTTTAAGTACCCCAGTGTTGTGTAAAATGTTCATTTAACACAGTTGGTAATACAAATAATTTCACATTAATGTTTAAGTTTTACACACCATTCACGCATAATAGCCCCTACACTATAACCATTATAAAATACCCGATGCACATTCAATTTGTGGGTTGCATATATAAGTGTAATGGTTACACATCATTCATAGTTCATTGTCAGATTCCATAATTATCATCACACTAGAAGCTAGAATATGCAAGACATGTAATTCTCAATTAATGGCTAACATAATTATGTCAGATTCCATAATTATCATCACATATTCATCATCCCACCAAATCATTGGCCAACAAAAATCACAGAGGAACATCATTTGTTACACACATTACATAACACAAGCCTAAATTCATCACGAGCTACAAACATCGATATTGGCTAACAGACTTCACACAGGAAGGAAAGCAACACGAAATCAGAACAAACACATAAATGAGGAGACAAAGAGAACAACAAAGGAGTATTGTTCAAATCAACATGTCCAAAGCTTAGCCTTTGCCGCTTTCGCAAACCTTCGTTTCTCCCTTCTGCATCGCTTCCATTCCCTTCCTCTTTTTCCTCTGCCACTCGTGCCGAGCTCACTTATTCTCCGTATTCCTTGTCGAAGCCCTCCAAACCATCAAACGTATCAGAAACTAGGTTGTCACCGTATTTCTTACACATGCACTATTTTGAATCATTCTCTGATGAACTAGAATATCCGAAACAAAAAATGAACATTCTAAATGGAAGGCAATCATCTTTTAGATCTGATTTAGGAGAAGGTTTCAGATCTACAGTTGTAGAGGACGAATCCACTGAGTGAGGAGATGGCAGTTCAGATCCACCATCTAAGGAATTAAAGGAGGTTTAGTGGATCCACCAGTAAAATATTCCAAGCCCATTACAAGTGAGTAGGACTGAATAGAAGAAAAGGGAGGCGCCGGCGAAGAAAGGATGCTGGTGAGTAGAAGAAAGGGGAAGTAACGACAAAGAGAGAGGAAGCTGGTGAGTAGAAGAAAGGGGAAGCAACGACAAAGAGAGATGACGAAGTAGATGGTTCCAGAAGAGGGAAGAAGATAACACGTGAAGAGAGAAACGGTAAATGGTAGGTATGTGTAGGGGATTAAGTGGGCAAATAGTTAAAGTTAAAAGGGAAGGGTAGTTTGGGAAAGACACAATTTTTTCCCTATAAATATAAACATGAACTTTAATATGGACTATCCCAAAAAGGAAAGTAGGAACTCAATTACCAAAATAAACTTAATAGAGATGAACCTTTATAATACACAACTATAATTAATTCATACTTTGAATGTTAAGTGTCTTTTTATTCAATCTAAATTATATGTGTGTGTTCTAGTTCAAATTAAATGTCATTCCACATGCAAAGTGTACACTAATATAGAGCATTGAATTGAAGGATCTAGAGGCTCTAAATACATCAATAATGCATTGATTTGGTTTAAAACCTTGACGTTTCAATAAATAAATCTATTTTTTGCAATCATAAAAAGTGCATCAATTTGAATGTGAAATTACATTGATAGCTATATTGGACCCATATACTCCATCCTATATATGGTCAGCTAAAAGTGAATCCATGTGTATTGCACTTGAGAAACACTATTTGTATCACAATTAGTTCATATATACGTAGTATATGTTTGCATTTGTATATGAATATGTGTATGTATCTATGTGTATGTAACATTGTTTATAGGAAACTCCATTTATTTACTTATTAATTTCAGGCAAATGAAAAGAATGGAATGTTAGTCGTGCAAAGCTTGAGAAACGGCCTAATGGAAACAATCCTCACAGCTACTATAACTATCATAGTGGTCATTTCACTAGCAGCCCTCACTAACAACGTCTTCAATGTTACATCTCTCCACCACTACCTTCATGCCCCATTGTTGGGACTACAACATTCCAATGACATCATCATGCTAAAGTTCTGCACCACTACCTTTTTCTTACTGGCTAGCTTCATGTGCAGCTCCTTAGCGATTGGGTACTTTGTCGATGCAAACATTTTGGTGAATGCATTGGGAGAGTTTTCAACATGTCTATCATCGCAGTTATACTTACAGACAATGTTGGAACGGGGATTCATGTTTTCCTTGATAGCAAATAGAATGTTTTGTATGTCATTTCCTATGATGTTGTGGATGTTTGGCCCTATGACGGTCTTGATTTCCACTCTCACGCTGATCTGGGCCCTTTATTCTCTTGATTTTGTTGCAATCACTGGGACATCTTCAACATCGCATGTGTCATAAATTATTGACCAGTATTACAAAGTTATTTTTATTAATCTCTTTTCATATCATTAATTAATTAACTTAGATCTAGTACTAGCGTAATTGATTAATTGGAAGTGGAGGAGATGAAGAACTAGATCTAATTTTATTTTGGGCATGTTGTATATATTATGACTACTACCCACTTCCCCCGAATTATTTTCTTATAGTATTCTACCCTCGCAAGTGATTTTCAATATAGTCACAAAAATGTGACTTAATAATATTTAGGGACTATAAAAATACATGATAGTAATTAACTGAAGTCACATTTTTGTCCCTAAATTTCTATTATTAATATATTAGGAAGGCCCCTTTACAATATCCATTATTAATCTCTCTACAACAATGAGATTTTTGTTCTTCTCTATATTTACTTATTCTATTAAAAGAAATCATTTAAACGTCTTTTCATTAGTGAGACGGTGTAAAACATATCTAATGTAGTCACGAGCAACTAATGAGATGCGATTATTTACGAAGGAATAAAGAATTCAAGATTCATTGGGTTGGCTATTCGGATGCTCACGTGGACTATTCCGTAGTGCGGATTGTAATTTTTCACAAATTCCCCATTTATCACTTAACAATGGAATTTCACGTATTTTCCTCAGAATTGATTGGGTTATTAACAGAAAACCTCTTATTATTTGGATATATTATGTTTGTATATACATAATGATATGATGAACACGTTAGAGCATCCTCAAGATATGTTTTCAAATACCGCTATACAAATTACAACCTGCTAGCAGACATTTATTCATTCACACATAGCCACCATATATGTTTACTTATACACTAGTATTGTTGCTTCTTGGCATTGAAGAAACTTGACATTGTTAGCCAGGCCACTTCATCAATCATCACTCATGATCGAAGAGCTGAGTTAATTATTTTATATGAAGTCAAAGAGAATGTGTATGGGTCACATCTTTGGTGCATCACTTGCAAAGAACATATAGACTATAATCACTATATAGAGGATAACCACCAATGATCTACATGGATTGCAATATGTATCGCTCAAATCATGAAATAATATGATATATAAAAAGAGAAGGAACAAAAAATAATATATTACAAGATAGTGCAACTTGTATAAACATCTAACACATACGTAATACTCCGTATTTAAAAGTTCCTTACACTATCCTTTTTGGGATGTATTTAAAAGTTCCCTACACTTTCCCTTTTTGGTAAGTTTTTCCTTTAAAAAATATTCAATATATAATTACCCTTATTTTTTCTACTTTTTATCCTCTCTTTCCTATTTTTTCACCTTCTATCCTACTTTTTCTATATTATTCATTACTCTTACTATTCTATCTTAAATCTTGTGTCATAACCAAACGTAGCGATCTTTGAAATACGGAGGAAGTATTAAATTAGTAATTAATTAAACAAAACACTTGTTTTAGAGAATGAAATTGCTTTGGGGGTGCTATTGTCCGCGATGATATGAGTCACTTTATTATATTATTGCCAAGTCTTTCTCATGTAATAATGCAAAAATATTCACCAAAAGGAAAGTGTTTCACTTATCTAAACGTTGATTTATACAAGGAAATATGCCTTACCAATATTTTAGCTGAGGTGGACTCCCAATGGTTCAATATTTTGCTAAACAAAAATCTAAACCTTCATGGAATCTTTGAACATATCTCCAATAGCTAAATTGCATTAACTATGTTTATATTTCATACCCATTACCTCTGGCTCTTCAAGGTTTACCCTTGTATGTCAAAAACAAAGATATCTCCAAACTTCCACTCAACACAAAAGCTTCATTTAAAAGGATATATAGCTAATATTGACCAAATTCGCTCTAGTCAGAACTTTGTTAGGTGGCTTCTTTATCAAGATATTACTAGGGAGTACGTTTGGTACCTGGTAAATGCCACAGTGAGTGAGATATTTTATGGGAGTAAGTTGTACTCGGGAGCATATGTAGGAGTAAAATTTAGAGTGGATTTATTTAAAGTTTTTTTTTCCTCACAAATTTTATACATAAACTTTTATACTAAAAACAAACATTTTTAAAATTTGGGATAGATCGCGCGTGATAAGACCCTATCTTCACCCTATTTGGCCAGTTGCATTCTTAGGATTTCATAAGAAGATTTCATCGCGTGGTCATGAGTAAATGTGCATTGAACGAGTGTAATTAGATTCACAGGTAAAATGAATAAAGTTTTCCCTATCTTCAATTCATATTGTGGTTATTTTTTTATTTCACGAAGTCAAATCACTGGTATATCCACCTTGCTAAATCATCATTCTATTTTCATACTCCGTATAATGCTTGGTAATAGTTCGGAATTACAATATAAAAAAAATATTTTCCCAATAACCTTAATGGTCTTTAGCACTACCCATATTACATTATTATAACAAAAAACACTTAAAAGGTCAAAACTATACTTCATGCACCCTCAATTTGTCTTTCTTTAATTTCGGTCTACCCTAAATCAACCTTCAACATATATATATATATATATATATATATATATATATATATATATATATATATATATATATATATATATATATATATATGACTTTTATTATTTTATCCTTTTACTCAAATTTTAACCACACATATGCATACATGTCAAGTTAGGACAATAAGATAATACCAGGACAGGAGAATAACTGATACGAGTAGTACCAAGACAGATGAGAGAATACCCGATAGTATTTAATTAATTTCGTAACTTGTTTGTGTCTGTTACTAGTGTCATAACTTTGTTTACATAGAGATCATGTCTTATAACTAATGAATTTGTCCACATTAAGTGATTTCACATCGGAACATACAATTTCCAGCAAAAATTTGATCTGAAATGCCGCCGCAGGCAATAAGTTTTCTATCGGAAACAGTCTGCTCCAATGAAAAACCCATTAGCGTGGACAAAATTGTTGCAAAATTTGATCTCTAAGTAATCAAAGTTATAAGATCAATAGTAGACATGTACGGAGTATATAACTTACAAAAAAAGGATGACACTCCATCCGTGAAGGTCTTACAGCACAAGACGGACAGTTAACTCGGATGATGTAAATTGAACTTTAATCATGACAGATCGTGAGTGAGACTCTGACTCATATACTTGCAGAGGCCCTATATAGCTTGACATAGAAACCTCTAGTTGCCAAGAATCGAATCCAAGTTCACCCCTTATGCCACTCATTATCTACCGGTTGAATTACATCCACCGACATGTAAAATGTGTGGGGGTGGGGCTAGCACAGTTCCTGCAAATTTTCGAAAGTCAATTCATCCATATCAGCAGTGGCCATGATATGTGGCGTAGTCAAATCATAGGTGCACCCAGAAGATATCAATTCTCTGTATCCCGACCCTGAAGACATTGCAGGCCGCATATGGCAAGACACTAATCCAAATGTCGATTTCAGATGATTGTTATGTGCCTGGTACAAACCCTCAGGCAACTGTTTTGTAAGAGGAGAAAGGGGCTCGCCCTGGTCACTTTGACCGTTTTGTCCTAGACAGTCTAGGGTTGAGGAGTCCATGTATGAGGTAGGATGGTTGATAACCGGGGGGTATTTTAGGAATTCTGTACACGTATGATTGCCTATGTATGTGGTGCGGTAGTGGGGAGGGCTCTCCTGAATCCTTTGCACCTGTTTGGTTGCTTGGCAATTCTGGTCGAATTTGTGGGTGCACCTGTAGTAATGCCTACATATATAAATATGTCAAATTAAGTAATGCAAAATGAGTTGAAAACAATTGCAATAAAATGAATAAACATGTAAATTAAAAACAACCCTTTGTTGAAATATTAATTAATAAGATCTTAGACTGTTCTTCCTATTCAATTTGTTTAATTTTAGCTTTTAGGATCAAATACCAAATTATAACATGACATCAATTTCAAAGTCTCCATAGTCATATTGTGGGAACTTATGATGAACTAATGAAAAAATGAATGACAATACATGCAATCCAAATGAAATACGGAGTATACTATTGTCATCAAGAGTTCTCATATATCGATATATTTATCACTGGTAAAATATGAACAATATACCCGAGTCTTAACAGCCCTTAGCTTGTTAGGTGTCCTTATAATATACCGAGTATGATAGTAGTAGGGAAATGCCACTAAATAGAAGTTAATATGTTTTGGAATTTCAAAATATAATTGCTATGTTTTTCTTTGCGAAATAAGATTTGATAGTGTCATGTTTGAAATACCAAGTAGTAATGCAAATATTTTGACAGTTATGATCTCAAGATAACAGACAATAAATACTGCATTTAACTCATATTTCGAAAAGAAAAATATACTAGTTATATTTTGAAATTACACAACCTATATTTCAGAACTCTCTGTATGTATGGAGCGTAAAAAAAGTGGCAATTACGGAATACAGTTTTTGCAATTAAAAATATGCATTAAGGAAGTCACTTTCGCACATTTTGTCACGCCACTTTTTGTTTAAACATTCATGGCAGCGCAACTTTGGGGGCAAGTTTTTGTTAATGGGAGAATTAATAATAATAATAATAATTATTGTTAATCCAATCACGTTAAGCATCGCATACACAGCCATTTAGAAAAGCAAATGAATAAAGTTCTTTTACGCAGAGTACTTTTAAGAAGTTTTAGAAAATTGTCATCATATTTAAACATGGACTACCTCCGTCCCATTTGGCCATTTTATGTGTCATACTTTGACTTGACACGATTATTAATTAAATGATTGAAAAAGTAAAAGTTGTGATTGCGATTTGAGTATAATAAAGTGAAATGTTGTTGTAGACCATATATTTTTTGCAAAAAAAGAAAATAAAAATGTGACACTTATTTTGGGACAATCCAAAAATGAAAGTAGGACATGTAAAATGGGACGGAGGGAGTATGTGTTTTTACTTGGTCGGAATTAACGTTTCAAAATACCCGGGGAAGTGAGGTGTCTAGGCTAAATTATAAGAGGAGTGAACAAGCATACAAGCGTTTCCTAAGGCTCTGTTTGCAAACCCAACTGGGAAGTGCTTTTAACTTTTTTAAATGATTTGGTAAAAAAGTGATTAATAGTAAAAGTTGGTAGTGTTTGAGAAAAAAGTGATTTTTAAAAGTAAAAGTTGGTGGTGTTTGGTAAAATAAGTGCTTTTTGTGTAATAGAAGAAGTAAAAAGCAGATTCTAGCTTTTAGCTTTTAAGTAATTCATTTAAATAGAAGTTGTCATTTGAAAACATCTTTTTTAGCTTTTTTAAGCCAAAAGTTGGAAATTGCTTTTTTAGTTGTGTTTGCAAATAGAGCCTAATTCTTTTTACAATTGGATAGTTAATAATGATATACACCCGGAGTATGTACAAAGACAGAAACAACCTCATATATTAACTATAAAGAAGTTTGAGGGTAGGGTAAAATATATGATTAATTATATTTGTGAATGGATATGTGGGTAAGTAATGATGGTCTCATTTATCACATTACTGTTACATACATACACTCATTCAAATCGGAGAAGTATAGCAAATTAAAGTTCCACGAATTCAAATCCAAATTTTAATCTTTTCAATATGTATATACAGTATGTCCTATTTTTCAATACCAATTAATTTGGGATGTCAAAAGAAAAAATACATAAAGAATTTATTTCGAATTTCTGCTCACCGGTTGTTGATTTTTCTATTGGCAGCTAGCTAGAAGCATCTTTCTTTCTTGATATGTAATTTATACTCTTAAATGTTATCATGAAATTTAATTTAAGAAAAGCATGGGTAATAAGTAGCTACTACATGATAAAGTAATAGAAAAGTAAAATACATGAGATGAAAAAATTAAAGGAAAAATCTAATGGAACAGAGCAAAAAAAAAAAAAGGAATGAACCATGCGCATCTTATTAAGGGTAACATATTCTTTTTTATAATTAATTTATTATTTACTTTAATCTGTTGCTGTATTTGGTAAGTTTTACCTAATAATTTCCATTTTTTCTGTTTTTTATTTTGTCTTCCCAACTAATTTATCTTTTCTTTCCTACTGTTTTTTAACTTACTTCTTAGACCATCCACGGCTTCTATTAGTATTATTATTTTTACTTTCAAAGTAAGTGGGACTTTTTTTAAAAGAATTTTGGAATTGAAACTGTTTAATTATCATCAACGTAAAACACTTTTTTACTTTGTGTGAAGCGCGTTTTTCAACTATGGAAATCAAGTACTCTAGAACACTTTTTATGTGTTTAGTAAATGAGGCATATTAAGTAAAATAAAATAATACTCCGTAATTAAATAAAGTAAAAAAGTGTAAGTTCTTAGCTGGAAGCGTGTTAATTATAGCGCCACCAGACCAAGTCTTTAAAAAGTAAATTATAGAAGGATTAATTAAAGTGTAATATGGTATATATAGCCTAGCAAACCTTGGATATAGGGAATGAAGGATAGTTTTTTGTCCATATTTTCTCCACCCATACCCATCATCTAGCAAAGTTTGGGAATCTTTAATTAATGTCTCGCTTTTCCTCCTGCATAATAACAACAATAATTGGCATAGTTATTAAAATTCATCCTCTGAATGACATTATGGTGTCATTATCTTACCAAATAACAATGCTATAATTAATCAAAACACATAATGTGTACATAATAAAGGTTTACATGAAGTAACACAACATATATGCGCCGGCACCATACATTGAAATGAACATTTGAGAAGCATATATATATATATATATGTTAAATTAAATATTGTGAAATAAAACTTTCAGTAGAAAACACTTATACTTAATGACAAATTAAAAATGATTAACTTCTAACTTTGTTTCGATTTATGTTTCTGATATCACCATAAGTATACCAGAAAAAATTAAACACATAGAATTTGAAAAAAAAAGTAATGAAAATTAACTAGAAGTTACGAGTATATAATTGTCTCTAAATATTAAAATCAAAATTTGAACTCTATTTATAACTGTCTAAAATTTTAATTGTAAAAATTTTAAACACCCTACATTTAGGAGCTAGATTTTTCACCGTATTAATTGTTTATCTTTATTCTATATCTAACAATCTAATCGTAAATCTTTTTAGAAATAACTTTAAAAATAAATAATACTCTTCGCCTTCCTTGAATCCTTGACCTCTGAAATCTACGAATCCAATCAAACAGCTCCTTGGGGTGTACCTTATTCGTAATTATTTAGTTCGTATTGCACAAATATTGCAAATTAATAAGCAGCTTTAATTACAGTAAAACATCAAGTAGCAACGTACGCATATGGATTTGATTAACTGTTAGTAAGATGCTTAGAATATCACCAGCTTAACAAAAAGGCATATATTACGTACAACTTTAATTTAAAAAATATGTCAATATGGGGTAGTCCGTGAACTTGATTGATTGATTAAGAATAAAATCTTAATCAGTGCCGAAAAGTACTTATCTTCACAAATAGGCTCATCAAACTATGAGCCTATTTGTGAAATGGTTTTCGACTGATATAAGAAAAAGTAAGATTGAAATTACTTTTCTGCTTGTATTGGTTGAAGTTACTGTAGATGGTCATCTTAGCTATTTTTTCATATAATTTTTTCTAAATTTTATTAATAAAATATATTTCAAATATAATTTTTTTCATAGATCAGCAGAATAAACTAATTCAGCCGCTCCAGCCAGAACTTCATAAATTTCAACAAAACTAACCAATACAGCCGATTTAGGTATTACCAAACGGCCTCTATATAGGCCGGGTTCGAGCACGTAACATTTTTTTTATTAAATTCGAGCATGTAACATAAAAATAAATACTTCATCCGTTCTTAAATAAATGCAACGGTCAACATTTGACACTTGCCGAGACACAACTTTAACATAAATGATTTCGTATTAGTAAAAAAATTAAAAAAATTAGATTATGAAAATTTACAATGAGACAAGTTTAACAATATTTTTTTCATAAAATAATATTATTACATTAATAAATAAAACGTAGTCAAAGCAGAACATGTGAATAGTGTAAAAGTCAAAGTGTTGCATTTATTTAAGAACCAAGGTAGTATAAATAATTATTATTTCATTTAATTCGAAATCTATAACTTTTTCATGAACAGAAATTCTGATTAGGCTGCGATTTCTAAACTCACCTAAGAATATTTAGAACATACTCCGTATTATATTACAAGATTATAATTTTATAAAACTATAAAATTATACTACGTAATAATCTTTATTTCAAAATTGTAGTTTTTTTGTCTTCATTTTATGAAGTGCAGCCTCCATTCCATTTTTTGGTTATTCCGCAATCAATACAATCGTCTTCTTAATATCAAATTTTAGTTCCAAAACTAATATAATTTCTAAATGCATAATTTTTATGAATGATATGATCATATGATATTGATGATGTAAATACTACGATGATCAAAAAGTATATGAAAAGAAATAATTTTGTCCTTGATCAAACTTAATTAGCTTTTGCGAAAAGATGGGGTAATATAAAATTTTGCAAGGAAAATCACCTTCTCTTGTAACAACCTCTACCATCTTTGAGTGATGAAGTCTTGCACCTTCCACTGTAGTCCTCCGTCTTCCGGCGGTCCAGAGACGGCGACGATGGCCGCAGCCGCGCTGCCGGAGAAACCTCGGCGGGGTCCAATGACCCAAGAATGGAAATACTCTCACAAAAAGATCCCAAAATCTTCTCCACCAGATCCTTTGCAACGCTGATAGACAACTCCGGCGGTCCATGATCATCGGCATAGCCATGCCCACGGCCGTTCTTCACCATTTCCCATAGTTGGTATGCGAATTCCCGGCCAAGAATCAGCTCCTCGACGGCCTTTTTGTGGGTCGCCGGCATACTTTCCGGCCAATGGTATGTCATTTGCTCTGTGAATGTTTTGTTGCTTTGAGCTTATTGGAGTGGGAAAATGTGGGGCGTTAGCTTTTATATGCGGTACCGGATGATCGGGTATTTGCTTTGATTGAATGGACATTTAAAATTAAAATTTTGATTGTTGAGGCAGTTAAATTATTGGACGTGGTATTCATTTTTCTCATATCTTTGACTTACTATATGAAATAATGACGAATATGAGTGAAATAAAAGTAAAGAACGAAAATATAACTTAATGATTAGTATAGTAATTTTATTCAACATGATTTTGTGCTTCAGTTATATTTCGGTAACACATTTATGAAAATGACTCTTTTTCTTATACTTCCAACTTTCGCTTTAGAAGTATAAACACAAGAAAAAATGTATAATTTAGAGTTTGTTGGGTAATCTCTATTTTTTTAAAATGCCTTATCACCAACTTTATCGACCATTTTTTATTTATCAAAATACATAATTTTTAAATTCGAGCACTAAATTTTTATAATAAAAATAAAAAAAGGTTGAAGTTATTTTCGTGACTGATTTGATTGAAGATTCTTAATTAGACTATTTTAACTATTTGCATATATTTATTTTTATACTATTGATAAGATGTAGGATGTTGGTTTTTTTTAATCCTGACGGTTCTAAATAGACTCAGTCGATTTAGGGTTGGTTTGCAACTGCTTTTAAAAAAAGCACTTCTCAGCTTCTGGCTTTTAAAAAGCACTTATTTTACCAAACACTACAACTTTTATTTTTCTCGGCTTCCGCGTCAAAAGTGTTTTTACTTTTTCTATTACACAAAAAGCACTTATTTTACCAAACACTACCCACTTTTACTTTTCAAAATCATTTTTTTCTCAAGCACTATCAATTTTTATTTAATCACTTCTCCCCATTTCATTTAAAGAAGCATTTTTTTAAAAGCATAAGCTGTTGCAAACAGACCCTTAGTCATTTAAGCTATAATTTGAGCAAATGCACCGGACTTGACCCATTTGTAAAATGTAAGACGTTGCCCCGATAACAATAATGTCCAAATGTAAAATGCAAATTCAAAATCCCGATAACAATAATTTCCAATTTAATTTGTACTCTTGTTTCCTCCACCATCTAAACCTCGCCAAATTTTAATGACATGAAAATAAATAAAATGCGTAATTGAAATTCGCATAGAAGAGAGCTAGTGCTTAAAAGGGAAATAAAGTTCCGCAATTGTTTGAAAAAACTATGACATATGCACTTATACTATCCTCTTTTGGGTTCATTGTTGACGACATTAAACATTTATCAACCAGTTTTATTAGTATAACAATATCTCATGTGAATCTGTCAGGGAATCAAATTGCTCACCAGCTAGTTAGGGCAGCTGTTTGTTTTGATAATCCACCTATTTATATTTCATTGTATTTGAATAATGATTTGATTAATAATAGTTTATCCCGTTTTCTTCATTGTATTTAACCTAAGAAATATCCAATCGAACTTGTAAAAAACACTGAATTATCATTTTCATTAGCAAAATATGCACAGAATACCAAGAAACATGTAATCTATATAATTCTTACCTTCAGTGCATGTCATATATATATTTTTACCAATTTTGCTTCATTTATTAGTATTCTAGAAAAGTTATTATTTTTATATATACTCCTAAATAATTTGTTTTTTCTGCAAATAATAATACGGAGTAATTTGTTATCTACTATATATGCTTTCTATATACTCCGTATTTCCGTAACAATTATACAAATATTTTTCTTTTTTGTTTCTAAATGATTTTTTATCTAGAACTTTTTGTATTTATTAAAATATTAGCGACGGCTGCAGGCATTTTTTATACATTTTTATGAAAGACATTTGCTAGCAGCGACGATTGGGGCAGTAGTTTTGATTTGATACATATTGTATTAACAAAAAAAACGTTTGTTAACATTTTTACTACACAACTTTAAAAAAATGATGGGTTGAGATACGGAAAACAATGTATAAGAAATACGGAGTTTATAATAGAAGTTTGAATGTGACAATGAAGGGACGATTATGTGCAATGACATTGCAAAGTGTATGAATGTGATTTGGATCGGGATTTTACCCGCACGGGTAGCTCATTTGGTTCAGTGATGGGAAATTTGAAATAATGATCATGGTGCGAAACTCGCAGCGATCATTTCGAGGTTACAGTTTATGCGTGCTAGGATGAGAGATTCCAACTTTTTGGGACAATGATTTGGATCGGGACCGATACAATGTTCGTGAAGCAGTAATGTGGAACAGTAATTAGGGACTTGACTAGCTAATTTCAGTACTCATCACTATTCATAGACTCAAAAAAAGAAAATATAAGAGAAAGGGCCCTTAAACAAGACTTATACAATAGAAAAATATTATAATGTCTTATCCGCATAAACTAAAAAAAAACAAAAAAAAATTGTGTGCAAGTGATAAATAGCCCTTTATTGAGTTTATTCGTCTTATCCGCATTACCAATCACTTTTATATAAATATGTACATTAACTTTTGATTTCAAATATCAAATTGTATGATAATCAAAATAAGTAAAATTCAAATTACTTTTCCAATGGAATTAGTTGAAATTGCAGAAGTTACATTTTTTTATAAATCTTTCTTCAATTTATTAATAAAGTATGGAGTATATTTTAAGTATAGTTATTTCATAATTTAGCAGATTCATGTAATTAGATCTCTTCAGCCAGAATTAGATGCAATCAATTCAGCTAATGTAAATGTTATAAAATGGGCTCCTAGATTAGTGTCTTCGAAAATTTACTACTAAATTAGTGTTTTTAACAAGCTAGAAAATGGGTGAATTATATAAAGTACAACATTTAATTTAGGATTTAGCTAGTGACAACATTTGCATGGCCGGCCCCGACTTCGTACGGGTACTGTTCAAAAATCAAATAATGAAATCTAAAATATAAAATAAAAATCCATTATAAAGGTAAATTCGTATTTAATTATTAAACAAAAATACAGTTATAATGTTATATACTTATAATATATGTCATCGATAAACCAAACTATTAAAAGTTACAGTTAATTTCCATTGTACCCAAAAAAAAGTTACAGTAATTTGAACGAAATCAACCAGAACATCTACTCTCAATTGCAATGGATCGGAGATAAATAATTAGTTTTCATTACATATCATTTTCAACCAAATCTTGAGCGGCAATAATATTTAGTTTTATCCAATAGACCACTCTCAATTGCAATGGAGATAAATAATTAAAATTTTATTGTATCATTACATATGCATGTTTGACTTTCAATATATTCAACTTTGATATTGTATATTTTTATTTGGATAAAAAATTGATCCCTGATTTAATTTGTGAACACTCTTCAAATGCACCCGCCCCTTGCATTCCAAAGGGCCGACCTTTGATAATTTCTAATTCTTTTCAAATGTTAACACCCTCTTTGGTAATACTCAAATCAAATCAGATGATTCTGTTGAAATATACAAAATTCTATTAATTTATGAAAAAAAGTATATGTAAAATATATTTTATCAATAAAATAAAGAAGAATATATGAAAAATAGCTAAAATGATCGTCTACGGTAATTTTAGCCAATGCAGCCAGAAATGTAACTACAACCTTACATTTTCTTATTATTACAGAATTCAGTATGTGAAATCAAAAGTTCGATATTTGGTTAAAGAGTTAGTCTTTTAGTCTGATAAGTCAAAAAACAGAGTCACCAAACGGACTCTATATTTTACTACGAGGACAAGTACTCTTTGACTTCAACTTTCTACGTCTTTTTTCAGAAGCTAGTCTTCGCTTTTAAAAAACTGTTTATAAAAGCAATTTGAAGCATTCATAATTATTTTTGCACTTTCACCCATACACTCCGATATCTTTTTTTACAGAAACAATTTATATCAAAACATCTTTAATTTACTACTACCTCCGTCCAAAAAACCTTTGGCATTTCATAAAATTTGAATTATGATTTTGATTGGTATAATATTATTGAATTTATGAATTTTATACTCTAAAAGTTCTTTTGACAAATAATATTTATATAAATTTTTATATTATAAATAATTTCCAAAAAAATATATGTGTATCAATATTTTAAAAAATGACATACCTTTTGGGATGGTACAATATTAAACATTCCTCAATTACTTTAAGAATAAGTCAAATTTCAAAGCATAAACAAAATGCGAGTTTTCCGCGAGTGACTGTGAATTTATGATCGAAGCCTCGAAGGTAAAAATCTGCACTTGCTTGGAAATCACCCAAGATTATTACCTCAGGCCACACGGTCATAATGACGTCGATACACTAACGTATTGAATGATGTAATTTTACTTGAGGACTTTTACCCATCTATGATAATATAGGGGACCCACTGTTTCATTATTTGTATGATAGCCTGTTAATCTCCTCCAGCCTGTGAGAATAATTATGGCTTCACTCTATGAAGTAAGGATACTTCCCTAGAGTAGCGTATCGACATATCCGATACGTTCCCGTATCCGATACTCTAGGATACTCGTACCGTACGTTTCCGGACCGTATCTGCAATTTTTTAAAAGTTTCCATTTTTTTTGTAATTTTTTGAAAGTTTCCGATACTCGTATCCTGACGGATACCCGTATCAACTTTTAAAAAAAAAATCCCAAAATTTACTTAATAAAATTCTAAAAAAAAATGAAAATCTAAAACTACATTTTACTTGGTAATCAAATAATGGGCCTATATGGCTATATCCGAATTAAGTCATTAACTCATACTCCGAATTGGGTACTTGCACTTTTAATTTCAAGATTGTAGTTGTTTGACTTATTTCTCATTTTAAATTAATGACTTATTGACTACATTTATATTTCGAGATGCACTAGTGTATATGAGAAATATTATGAATTTATTACTAAGTATCTTGAAAAAGGAAAATGCTTCAATGCAATGAATGAGTAGACATCATAGGATATTATATGTATATATATATATATATATATATATATGAAAAAAAAATCTATTTTTAATATTTATAAATAGACCCCTATAACTTTTAATATTTGTAAACACACCCCCATAACTTTTAATATTTGTAAACCTAATGGCAGTTTCCTTCCTCACCCGTTAACAATACCTATAAATCCGCAAACTTCTTGAGTATCGTAAAGGGATCACGCCTCTATAGAGCAAGCAGGCAAGCAGCTATTCGGTTCTTTCCAAGGAAGAATTAACCTGTCACCCCGCTTAGAATGATATGCACTTTTTAGAATGAATAATTTAACAACCTCATCTAGGCAACAATTATATTTTCATCGCCTCGGTTGATGACCATATTACTATAAATCACTGATGGGTATTTTCCTAACCTGCTTCTTGTTTTAGTAAGTAGTAACTACGAAGAATACTTTCATTAAACTCAAGACAATAATGATTATTTGTTGAAGTCAGATTTTCCAGCTTCTACATTTTTCCATCTAAGAGTTAACCTTTTTGTCATCTCAATCTGCACACTATATATGGATGTAATTACGGATAAGAGTATATGTGCCGGACAGCTTTGCCGGCTTCTCTTGAACGATTGGAGTCAACGAAGGTGGTTAACACCTTCGTTTAGCAGTTAGCACCATTGTTTTATCATATAAAAGGGCCGCTTATATTTGTGAACATTATGATGAATGAAGGTTAGTTATGGTATCTAAAATTCTACGGGTTAAAAATTAACAAAAAAAAGTGCTATCTAGTTTATTAAATAAAATAGAGGCACTAACTTTAAGTGACCTATTTTTAAAGGTTATATAGCATTTTTTCCCATATAAGTATTACTGTGTGTTTTAATTTTCTAAATATATGAGTGGATTACTTTCATCATTAAATCATATTTAGGTAATTCCAGTAAAAATCATTTTAAATTCCAAGATATAAGTACTACTGTGTGTTTTAATTTCTAAATATGAGTGGATTACTTTCATCATTAAATCATATTTAGGGTAATTCCTTAAATAACAGTAAATAAAAGCTAAATTGTAAATTTGAAATATATTAAGCCTTATATTCGCAAAACAAGAGTTACTATCATATCCTACCTTTGTCATGTTTCAATAAGAACTAGTTTTTGTAACGCGCATTGCGCGGTGGGAAAGAATGCCCAATATTGTCGTGAAAAGGCGTTCTTGTGCAGAGGAATAGGAGAAATCATATCCAACATATATTCATCACTTTGGCACTCAAATTAAAGAGACCAATCCATATACTCGACTAGTTTGGCTCTAGTTCTTGTGTCTAAGTTCTAAAGTGTCCTTGAGGATTATCCTAGATTAAATTTCTTGTAACCCAGGCATAGGGGAGAAATATCAATTCGGAAAGTGATCTTACACGATCCTTAAACGTGTTGCAACTGCCTAGGACGGTGAATATGGATATATATCATCATATTTCGTACAGAGGAATAGGAGGAATCATATCCAACATATCTTCATCACTTTGGCACTCAAATCAAAGAGACCAATCCATATACTCGAAAGATAAGGGGAAAGGCAAAAAGCGCAAGTAAGCTACCGCCCAAAGTGGGCAGTACTCATCCTTATAAAATTGGCATACATTTTTTATCGGGGCTATTGTTGTCAAAAAATGTGTATATACAATTGTTTGATGCATTACTTTTATAATGAAATGTAAATATATATACACAACTTCAACCAAAAAAGTTATGAACAAGGTTAACGGGTAATAGTCCAAACACTCAATTAGAAAAGGCGACATATCTCATAAACAACCATCCTCATCACATCGAGAAAATCGTAACCACGTCTTTGACTAATAATAAATTCTCAATGGTAAAAAAAACGTGAGAAGAAAAAACAAATGTAACATATTGGTGTTCTATGGTTATATCAAAACAAAAACAACAAATTAAGGGCCTGAGTAGCATCTTCCAGGTTCAGCCACACAACTCACTACATACGTAATAATAACAATTAAACCTTAATAGCATACTTTCTTAAAGGGAAATACATTTATGGCTTCTTCTGCCTTTCGGTCTTTAGAGATACCTGGTGCTTAGTGAGGCATCTACGGATGGCTCTGGTCTTCTTAGGACGTAGATTGAGGGGAAATACTTCTGGTTCTTGTAAGCTGTCCTTAGTGACACTTTATGTGTTTGGAAAATCATATTCAACACTTGAGCAATTGACATCCTCACCACCTTAGTCTTGGAGAGCTTATTGGGGGGGGGGGGGGGGGGGGTGCTGACCTTGGTGACTCAGAGTGAAGCGAACTCCGTCTTCAGATCCTTCAACTGAGCCTAAAGTTCAAACCTTTACACGCGCGTTGCGCGATTGTGTAAATGCCCAATATTATTTATGTAGAATAGATTTTTTCTAATATTTAGTCGGGATAGGAGTAAACTATCCAAAGAACATATAATCTGCACAAATGAATGCATACAACAAATTGTTGTGGTTCTGGATTTTAAATCCATCCATCTCTCATCAAATTGTTATCCTCACGGGTATCGAAATGTTTGTTTGAACTGGAATTGAAATAGCAGAAAATCTACAAAAGTAATACAAATCCCTATTATAGAAACATACTAAAGTAGTCACACATAAATTGCTTAAAGTCATGCTTTGAGTATGTTCAGCTCTCATTTTTACAAATGAAAGAATTGACACTACCCTTGTCCCTAGGGACTAAAACGACAAGATGGAAACCAATAGTTACACTCAACTTTCATTTTTACAAAAATTAATATCGGCAAATTAAAAAGGTTGACTACAAGTTTGAATATTGACTAAGTTTTTACAAATCTCATTCCAATATCGATTTTTGACTATGTTTATCAAAACTAAATGCAAATTGGATATTGACTTTCATTCCATTTTCCCTTGTTGATAAGAGCTTTACCATACCTTATTTGCTTTTTACTATTTTAGCTAGTGGTTATGTCCGCACCATCTAGACTAACACTTTGAATAGTGAACATTATCAAAGCAAGTCGATACATAGGGAAATTAGTTTATTTTTGGAACGGAGAGTGTTATGTTCTTTATGTGTTAAAGAAATTGACGAACACATGATGTAATCATATAGTATAATCTTTGGCTTAAGTTCTCCTTGATATGACGTCAACAAAGAAACCAGCGATTATGGGAAAAGTACTTTACTCGGGATTGAGCAATGTACCAAATGTACTCTACACACCAAATGTAATACTCCATATCATCTTTAAGCCCCTCTCACATGTATGTCAGATAGTGAAATCATTGATGCTAAAATATGAAGTAGCCAAGATGATAAAATTTAACAGATCCTACCTAATCTGTGCATGTTATAATCGTTCTAGCTACATTCTGAATGTTAAGTAGAAGAATGTTCATCATTTGACCATATAAAAACCCAGTTATCTGGTCAAGCCTAGCTTGGCACAATGGAACCCAAAAGAAATATTTTCAAAACCTTCCAATAAATAGCTCCAGTAATGGGGTTTCAATAAATAGCTCCAGTTATGGGGTTATCGTGTCTTTTTCATTACCAAAACTTTTGTAAGTTCTGAGCAAATGTTTGGTTTGTATTTATATAAACACAAGCAGAGTGAACATTTTTCCGAACTTATGAGCTGATAATGAAGCAGACAGAGAAATATTCCTAGATTAGATCACATAACAAATAAAACTATCATTGCAAAGTAGGTTGCCCAACTAGAAAAGCTAGGAAAATAAATGCATGTTAGCATAATAAATAAAAGGAATTGATCATAATAAATAAAAGGAATTAACCAGCTCGATTTTTTTAGGTAAAATAAAATAGTGTAAGCTAAGAAAAGCGACAACAGACCCCTAATAATATGAACTACTAGTACTTCTTAAAAAGAATAAACTAATATCTCTACAAAATTATAAGAGCGAATAGAGGTAGGGATATTTTAGGTTTTAAAAATGTGTTGGTGGTATGGATGGATTTAACTGCTTGTACATTGTTATTCCAGCCTTATACGTTTGGGGAATACTTTTCCATTCTCAACTCACTTGATTATAACTCCGTCTATTGAGCCGCTTGTCCTCGTTTACTGATGTAGCTCTTCATCTGCACCATCTTTGTCGGTCAGTTACCACTTACAACATCTATTCCCTTCTCCTGTTTCAATCTCCACCCTCTAGGTCATGTATTAGGTTTACCCTGGCTGCTGCGAACAAGGCACTGGTCTACCACACCAAGCGTGACAGGGGGTGGCTCAGCGATTGTGTGATAGACTGATCTAGTGTTATCTGATCGTGGAGACTAGAGTATGTATCGGTGGTCAATGACCGCAAGACCGGCAACGACGACAAGTTGAGCCCGGACATTCCTTTGGTCTGGTAAAAAGCAACTGGTCTCGCTCGAGCAAATCTCTGAGGCTATGTGTTTCATATAGGTAAGTACGTCGTTCTTCTATGTCCTGTTATTGATTTTGTGTAATTCAATTGCCCGGTTTAATTGACTTTCCATATCCTCATCATTGCTTGACACCTTCTTTCATACTTTTCATGTCTACACTCCTTACCAACAATTGAAAATTTCCATTAATATGGAAAGAATCTTTTTTCAAACTCACTCAGACATGATGTAGCAGTTCAAGAAATGGTAAATTGAATTTGAAATATGTTCTCTTACCACTATTGGTTATTTGTTTGTCATGATCGATTTGATCTTAGTTAGCACTCAAAGAAGCTCTTTTCACCATAGTTGCCGGATGAGATTGGCTTTACCTATACTTTTCAGTAACTTAGCAACATATAAAACAACATCTGTTAAGCACAATTCAAGAGTGACAATTTAATTTGTTTTAAAATATTCCAAAGAGCACGTTTCTTGGAACTTAAAAAGTGCTTGAAAACACTCCAGGACATGTAAATCTTAAATAGAAACGACTAACACGAGTAACAACAACACCTATGGAACTTACATCTGATTTCAGTTTTTATTGTCAACCCAAAGTTCACTCCAAGCTTGGTAATTTTGTTGTTGTTGTACTTTCACTTGCATCAAATGATATTATTTACCGAACATAGAAGAAATTATGCTTCTCCATCAAACATTAGTGATGTAATCAAGAAACTCAACCACAAAGATTGATTAAGATTTGAGACTTTAGTATATTTTCCTCACACACAATCTTGGCCACATTTATCCTGTTTAAAGCAAATCTCTGACGCTATGTGTTTCATACAACTAAGTACGTCATTTTTCTATGTCCTGTTATCGATTTTGTGTAATTGAATTGCCCGGTTTAATTGACTTTCCATATCCTCATCATTGCTTGACAATTTAATTTGGTTTTAAAATATTCCAAAGAGCACGTTTCTTGGAACTTAAAAAGTGCTTGAAAACACTTTAGGACATGTTAATCTTAAATAGAAATGGCTAACATGAGTAACAACAACACCTATGGAACTTACATCTTGTGATTTCAGTTTTTAATGTCAACCCAAAGTCAGCACACTTTACAGCCTGTATTATACTTATTCTTATTATGCTACTTTAATAATAGAGGAATGGAAAGGCGGGTAAAGTTAGTAAAGTGATGCAGTATGGAAATAGCGTATTTCAAGAAGATAAATTTTGTTTGCTTCATAAGAGTCATGTATGAATCAAATTCAGCTTAAAATAAATAGTGAATTTATGAGGTGCCAATTTGCTTATGATATTGTTCCAGGAAACCTTATCTCCATTTTTCTTTTCTTACCTTTATGTGTCTCTTTCTTAAATTCTTTAGCTCTAGCGGTTTTGGATTGTTCTTAATGTTTTAAAATCTTATCTCTTTTATTACAGGCATTCTTGTTGATATTCTTCTCAAATCTCAGTGACAAAACCTTCTTTATTGAAGTATGGGCTTCTATTAATTCTTAGTCAGTTTTATTATCCTAGCAGATATTCAGTGTTATAACCTAATTTTCATTTTTCAAAATATATTTGCAAGCTCTTCTGGTTGCTCGAAACTCTCCTGTAGTCACTTTTATTTGGGGGGGGGGGGGGATTTTGGTGCACCAACGTTAGTAATTTGCTTCTTCCGCTGAGATGGCACTAAACTGAAATGCTGAACTATTTTTAAGAATATCGTCTCGGGTAATGACAACCATATCTGCTATCATTGGGCATACATTTCACTATGTGGATGTTATCCTTCCATTCAGGTAATCCATACATTTCTATACGAAATTGCCAAAACATAGACTTTGTTTGGAAGGTAGTTGGAGGAGATGGGCTATTTTTATTAGTTAAAGAAAATATTACTTTAACTTTGAATAGATGAACGGAGGCACTATTTATAGAAGCATTCTCTTATCTTTGAATCTTGCAGTCTTGAAACCTTAGATTGAGAAACATATGGGAGAACACACAGAGCAATATATTTGTGTCATTTCTACTCCACAGTATATGAGTAAATGAATATGCTCACATGCCTTAACTCAATAAATATCACATTTCTATGGTGATATTTATCACATTTCTATTCGACACTGACTATAGATAACTACTTGGGGACAAAATAAGAACAATAAAATAATTAAATAAATAAAGAAAGAAAGAAGTACACTTGGCTAAAAGCCTAAAAGTAGTAGTATTAAGTACTAATAGAATAATAAAACATACCCTATTTTAATTTCTTTGAAACTTATATTTTCTTTTGTTCCTTTCTTTTCTAAAATAAAGAAGAGCTTTCTTTTAGACTTATATTTTCTTTAGTTCTTTGATATGTAGTATTATATTTCATTAAATAAAACCTACCCTCTTTTCTTATGTCTTTGTTCATGAGTAGCACACATATGAGGCTTGGACCTACAAAGAACCATAGGGAATATGACTCATGCGGCTTTGCAAAAAAAGTTATTTTCTTATTTAGATCAGATGACTAAATTTATGCGTCTTCTTCATATTATGGGCTTCTGAAGAAAATTACACGGAGTGTGTGACTCATGCTCTGCACATATTGAGGTTGAAAGTGCAGAAAATGAAATTGGTGTTGTGAAGTTGATGAGGTGCTATAGTAGTATAGTGTGATAGTGGTACTTCTCAATATAATTCATTAATATAGGATTCAGTTTGTATTATATATTATAGTTCATTGTATTTATATGCATGATTAGGATCTTTTTCAGGATTCATAAGTGATGTATGCTACTCTTGCCAGCAGAGATGTGGACGACTGCTTTTTTCCAGAATCACCTACTCCTTTAGAACGGCCAGGTGGACTTTATAAATAAAGGGAACACTGCGGGAACATAGAGATATGGTGATTGTAATTTGTTAAAGGTACATGGTAGGAGCTGCTTTCTGATAGCAAGTAAGAAAACAAAACAAAACAACAACACGAATCAATCAGGAAACAAGTTGCTCCCAGATGTTGGACTTTGGTTATCCTAAAATATCAAGGTACTGATGCGGAATAGTTCTTATATACAGTAATATATTCCCTCATGTGACAAAGAGCTGGGAAATCTATTCTTGTTAATACATCTACTCTTTCGCATCATGAACTAATCAACCTTCACAGAAAATATGTTCGTGGAATTCTGCGCTTGAAACGATTGTACCAAGTGCTCATTTTACTTCATGCGGGCACTGCTATGGCGCGTTAAAGGTTGACGGAACTTAGCTTCATTTCCA